CACGCTGGGTAGCTGGGGGTATCTAGAGCCCAGACCCGTGCGGTCTAACAGCATGTCCCACCATTCCCCACAGTAAATATGCTGATCACAACAGGACAGTGAGTACAACCCAGAAATGCTTACACATGAAACCATGTCCTATCTGGGGCTTACTTCACAACACTCAGGTTTGGCAGCGGAGCAAAAGATGGCAGGGGAGAGAGTAAGATTGGCTGTGAATTGATAATTGTTGAACGATGAGCTGCCAGTCAAAATTGAGAGGAATGTGATAACCACCTTAATTCCTTATCTTTTATAGACAACTCAAGAAATAGAGGTAGGTGTATCTTTTTTGGAATTATTAAAATTAGCACCCAGAACAAATAAAAATAGAAATAACATTTTAGCTAGTTCAGACATGGGTTTGATAAAGGACACTTTCATTTTATACTCTTATATTATTTGATATTTTTATTATAAGCAATATATTACTTTTATAATTATTAAAACTTAAATCATTCACAAATTTTGGTAATTTGTGTTAGTTGCAACAAAATTTTTGTGACATATCTTATAGCACTATAATTAAAAACTGCTGCCCTTGATTAACCATTTTAAAAACTAGAGGCTTACCCTAGCCTGTCTCATTTCCTAGAATTGTGGGAAAATTATTTTAAGAGGATGGCCCATAACATCATGTAAAGACCATCCCTAGTACCCCTGACTGGTCTGGAAAAAGAAGCTTAAGTCTATGTTATCCTACTCTTCAGGATGTCATCAGAGGAAAATGTAAATTTTCTAATAGGTCATCACTAGACTAAGGATGATAATTTAGGGAAAGGATGATAATTTAGGGAAAGGATCAGATCACACTTAACAATAAATATTAAAGCAGCATTCTAACTTTTGGAGTTGAATTATGAGAATAGTTTCTATTCTTGGCTCTAGGTTATTTCTGTTTGGTTTGTTGATTCTTCTCTACATTCTCCTTTTCTTGATTGGAAACGAAGTTGGGGGAAGTCATTCACCACAGGTGGATTTATCTGAGAAATCCTGGAGTTTCGTTGCCTTTTGGGCATGTTGCCCAGAAAAAGGGTGGTTGGGGTGTCGGTGGGGCAGCTAACTGTGGATGTGGAGTTAAAAACCATGACCTTTATAAGTTAGATGCACTTTAAATATATAGGTATTCTGTGGTTCTTGCAGATACATCTGTGCCCTGTATTTTCAACTTGTCTTATTGTGTGAGGTTCTATTGTTTGTTGGTTTTTAACACTTGCTTCCTTCCTCCTCTCTGTCCCCCTGACACACACCGTACACTACCTGAACAAGACTCGATTAGCATGCTGCTTCCTCTCCTTCTCTTTCTCTCTTTTTAGTTGTGGTAACTCTATTGTTTGTTGGTTTTTAACACTTGCTTCCTTCCTCCTCTCTGTCCCCCTGACACACACCCTACACTACCTGAACAAGACTCGATTAGCATGCTGCTTCCTCTCCTTCTCTTTCTCTCTTTTTAGTTGTGGTAACTTGCACTTAACATAAAATTTACCATCTCAACCATTTTAAAATGTCCAGTTCAGTGGCATTGAGAACATTTGCATTGTTGTGCTACCATCAGCACCATCCATGTCCAGAACTCTTTTTCATCTTCCCAAACTGAAATTCTGTCCGCATTAAACACTACCTCCCCAGCTCCTGCCCTGGTAACCACCATTCTACTTTCTGTCTCTATGACTTGATTACCCTAGGGACCTCATGTAAGTCAGATTAGATAGTATTCGTCTTTTTGTGACTGGCTTATCTCAGCATGAAATCCTTAAGGTTCATCCATGTTGGAGCCTGTGTCAATATTTCTTTCCTTCTTAAGACTTCCATTGTATGGATGTACCACATTTTGTTTATCCATGCAAACATGGATGTATAAATATCTCTTTGAGACACTTCTTTCAGTTCTTTTGGATGTACTAGTATACTCAGAAGGTGAATTTCTGGATCATATGATAATTCTATGTTTAATTTTTTGAGGAGCCACCATACTGTCTTCTACTGTGGCTGTAATATTTCATATTCCTACCAGTAGTGCACAAAGGTTCCAATTTTTCCACATCTTCAGCAACACTTGTTATTTTCTGGGTTTTTTTGATAGTAGTCCTCCTGATAGGTGTGACTTGGTATCTCATTGTAGTTTTAATTTGCATTTCCAAAACAATTGTTTCTGTGACAATTAAGATGTTGAGCATCTTTTCGTGTGCTTGTTGCCTATTTGTATGTCTTTGAAGAATTATCTATTGAAGTCCTTTTTTAAATTGGGTTGTTGAGGTTTTTTGTTGTTCAAGTTTCCATTGTTTTTTAAGTCCGGATAGGTGATGTTTATCTTGCTCATGGAACCAAAGGTTATGAAAGAAGTGTTTGCTGTGAAAAGTAGTTGATTGATGGTTTACGTACATGCAAAATGGGAAGATTTGTACGGCATTAAATTCTATTTTATCAATATTTATGGATGTTGGATTTTAATTTCAGAAGCATTAGTTTTCTTCCCCACTTTTTAACATTTTTGTTTACCTGGCAGTATAAAAACCACTACCAAAAAATATGGCTTTTTTTCCCTGTATACAAATAGCAACTAAGTTAATAGTTTCTCTAAAGTAACCATTTCTCCTTAATTGTCATTTGTGGGCTCGGGCTTCTTATTCAAATTTGACATAGACTCCCCTAGGGCCTAACTCCAAAGTCCTTTGAGTCGTATTGCTGCCCACAGTGGCCCCGGAAGCATCCTGGTGATGCCCACTAAGGTTGGCTCCACCTACAGAGTCCACTGGTATGGAGAGCCCCAAGGGAGCCACAGCCAACACAGTATAGGACTAGATTTGCCGGAGGATGTGGTGACTGTAGGCAGCCATACCCAGGTCTCAGCCAGGAAGAAGATGAGGCTGTTTCCTCATTGTGGAAGCATCTGAATCTGGCCCAGCACCCTGGGCAAAGCCCAGGTCACATTCCACATGTCTAGGCTCACCTTCCTGCCCCACTCACATGCCAGAGCCAAGGTGCATAGGGAAGTCCCTCTCCCTTGACTGATAAGATCAGTTGGCAGTCTTCTGTTCTTCCATATCCTGTTTTCATTTCTGTGACTATTTCTGGAGAACAGTGTATTTCTGCTTTTCCTTTGGTATGTTTGTGATTTAGTTAGAAAAGCTTTTTCAGACTTTAGAACTTCTACATACAGTATTTGTATCAGTGACAGCAAACTACAGTAAGATTATATATAAGATATGAGGATCAGCACATTCCCATGAATTGGTGTTATTTAATGCCTCTCATGGAATTTTAAGTTGTTTGTATGTTTTTCAAATGTGCCTTTGCTTGTCTTGATGATTTACAACTATTGCCAGTGCTATTTGTCTATTCCCACAGTGATAAATAGGTTCATTTGGCAAACTCAGCTGGTTTTATTAAAAGTGAATACTGGTGAGTGGAGAGGGACTTGTGTACAATTTTCTTGTCAAATAACAATGATGTGGAAATAAGCAATTTTAGTTCCTTGGCTTTGAGTATCATTCCTATTTGGCAAACTCAGCTGGTTTTATTAAAAGTGAATACTGGTGAGTGGAGAGGGACTTGTGTGCAATTTTCTTGTCAAATAACAATGATGTGGAAATAAGCAATTTTAGTTCCTTGGCTTTGAGTATCATTCCTATATGGCTCCACTGGCCAGCTTATCTCCACAGAGCCTCTTTCCTCGCTTTCAGAGTGAAAACAATCTCAGTTATAGTGTGCTGAAAAATAAACATTATATACATATTTAGTTTTGAGCATGTGGATTGCTGTTCACAGGGTTTTTGTTGTATTTTAAGGAATGAACTTTTTTAAAAAAGAAAAGATGTTCAAGTTATTTATTGCCTTATGATTTTATTTATTTCCTTATTTCATATAAAAAGAATAAATAATGGAAAAGTTTTTAATTAAGTCTATTTAAGTGGCAAAAATATGTGTTTTACTTCGTCTGGTTTCAGTTAAGTGACTTAAAAGTATATTTGGTTGATGCTTAATAAGAAAATGTTCAGTGGAGTAATGATTAGCTCCAGATAAATCTTTACAAATCTAGGGGATAAACAGAAATGTTGAGCATT